TCCTTTCCGGCTGCAGACTGCACCCGGCCCCCATAGCTGCGCAGGACAAGTCACAAATAACGCAATGCGACACTAACTTCTGTAACTACCTCAGTCTTTAATTTTATCGTTTTCGCACCCCTTGTGTCGCTAGATCTGGTGACATACTCGCTACAGCGAACCCCCACAATCTAAGCTTATTTTTTTGTTTTTTTTGCTCTCTACTTTCTTCTGCTTTCTAATTCTTTCCCTTATTCATTCTCCTGAAATAGTCCACGTCTTGAAAGCAATTAGCCGACCCTGATGATTTCTTTGAAATATACAGCCATTATCATTGAATTTAGTCGGGATGTGCCGGCAGGGCATGGGTTTTTCCATCATGGGTTGCTGTTTCGCAGACTGGTGGGAAAGGGGTTCACTCGCGTCAAAACCTGACACGACCCTTCTGACTTGAGTGAGGACGACTGAAATGTAGTACATACTGGTAGTTCTGACATATCCTTAAGCAGGCAACTTGTAGCGCCTTGACTGAGGAAGAAGTTCACTATGGAATTTGGCTCGAGATTACAAAGGAAAGCCACTGTGTGAAGACCTGCCTCCAACAAGTGGACTTGAAAACATACTTTCAATACCGGTTGTTATCACTCGCCCGCAGAATCTCTCAAGTTTTCTTCTTCAGAAAAGTAAAAAATATAACGGTATCGACCAATGTGCTTCAAGTGGCTTAGAGGCAGTTGGCACGATAATTTGGTTCTCGGTCTTAAATGGCAGTAGGGGTGTTTACATAGTAGGAAAGAATGGCGAAAACCGAATGATACGGAAAAAAAGGAAAGCGCTTCGCTCATGTTCGGACGAGTTTTGTCGTAGGCATTCTTGCCATGACCGTACGGTTAGATAAAGCTGCATTTGTTGCGCAACTGATATCACGCGGCAGCCGCTGCGGTTTTATACCAATCCTTTGTTTACTTAGCAAATGAAGCAATACGAGCATCAGGAACGGTCGTCCATTTGTGGGCGGGCGGGCGTGGTGGGCGTTCGGGTCGGTATGTTGCAGTTTGAGCCCTTATAAGGGTACCTTTCTTGAAAAGGCGCTACGCAGCGCCTGCTCACGGTCACGGAATTCCGTCTTGCTAGGCGTATTAATCCTACTCGTTTTTTTATCGTGCCTAATTGCCTTTAATGCCAGCTATCGTTGTGAGCACTTCCAAGAGCCACTATCTTGACCAAGATCTCTTCCAACGTTCAGATTGAGCGGAATAAGATCCTTTCCGCAAGTTTCCCGTGATTTATTTTGGTGTTTTCTCCTCTGCAAACCTTCTCATCACCTCTTATTCCATCTGTGACAAATCGCGAACTGTCTTATCCATATTTCAAGCGAAAAATCATCGCGTTCTTATCTGAAAATGTCATTTCAGGATGTGGAGCTGGATATTGGCCTGCTTATTTCTGCCGTCAGTTATTGGTCAGGTGGTTAACGTGACGATTTTCACTGAATCTCAGTGCCCCTATTGCACACGGTTACTTCGTGAGCAGATCTGGCCATTCTACGTGAATCGACCAGGAATCATGAACCTGCAGGTGATTTTTGAACAGACTACAATTTATTGCGCTGTCACTCTCCACCCAAGCGCTCCCTGAACGGGGGATTCAGAAGGAAACAGAAAGAATCATGGTTTCCTCACACAATGCCTCTGAAACGGAAGAGAAATTCAAATAACCACCAGCTGTATCTGCAAGGACCAGTTACTACGGAGTAATCTTGATCGATCTCGTTCTTAGAGCGCCTATCGTCGCCTTATTTGCAATCGTCGCTAATCAAAGCCAGTTCTCCTTGATCATACAATTTGGATAGATCCTTCGATCACATTAATCGCTGAACGAGACAAATTGATGCACATTCGGGGGAAGGAAGAGGGGGACAATATTCTCCTTCCGAAAAAGATTCTCTGGGAAACAAGTCTTACGCAAACATAATAAAAAAACGAATTAAAAAATAAATGAAAATGAAACAAATAAAAATGGATAGAAAAAGGGGAAAATGACAAACAGCTGTCACATATAAGGACATGAAGTTTCCAGCATTGATCACCCCAGGGATGCGCCTTGCATTGGACTTCCGCTCGAGATCACAGTTGCATTTTGAAGGCGACCTGGTCTATACAGTAACCGCTGGGAAAAACAATATTTTTATATCTCCAGACAAGTTTGACACAATTTATCCCCTCACTTACCTCCTAAGGATAGATGACATGTTCAGCCCGACCCCAGGAGCATGGGCGTAGTATGCTGCGTCATTTGTAACTACCCTACCTTCGCGCATAGCGTTCGCATACAAGGTATGAGGAAGTCCTTACTCATAGAGCGATGCACTATCAGAGCCATCGCCTTCAGTCCAGTAACTCCTTGTACCAAAAAGTTAAAAATGCTTTTGCGGCATGAGGGTCACCCCAGCTGTGCAGTTGCTGAAGTTTTTGGAGAATTCTAGTGGAGTGAAAAAAAACATTAGAGAAAGCTGAAGGAATAAACTTTTTGTATACTCCTTATCCCTGAGCCAGAGTAGGCGTGGCATTTGAACATGGCACGGAACTGGTTACTCGTGGAATATTCCAGTCTGGGACAACTGTCATCTTGTTCTGTGTTGACAGAGACACGACACAATTTTGTCAAGATGGAAATTTCTCACCAGAAGCATAGACACCTCCAGATTGAGTTGAAACATGCGGCCACGCCTACCCGATCTCAGGGATTTCGAGTATAAGGTGAATCAATGAGTTTCGAAAGAAAGAATGGCGCCAAAAACTCGTCCACACAACTTTGTGTTCCCTGTTCTTGAAGAAATCCCAGATATCCTTGTCCGCCAATGGATAAGCAGTTGCTTTTAATCCACACGAATCGCAAGAACTCGCGCTCGATCCGGTTCTCAGCAAGCGTCTGTTTGCAATCACCTATTGGAGAGAAATGGAATGAATTTGGACATGACGTTAAATAATAAGAACTACTTCCTCGTTCTTTTTTTTCATCCTTTGACTTCCCATACATAATTGCCCCTAGGATGCTGCGATGCCTGCCAATTTCTAAAAAGTCAAGGATCCTGCTTTCCATTTAAACAATTTCGTCCCACTCCCATTTGGTTCCAATCAAACAGTTTTTCTGACGGAACCTGTCAGTTGAGTCACATGAGGCCTAATTGTGA